GAAGCACATCGCTCTGCGTTACTTCCTGGCTCGAGAGTTGCAGCAGGGTGGTCAGCTTCGTCTACGTTACGTGGCCACTCGGGCCAACACTGCTGATATATTCACTAAGGCACTTCAGCCTGGTGATCATCAGCGTTTTTGCACTATGCTGGGGCTTGTGCCCACTTTGCCTCACTTGCTGTAGACTTTACTTGTACTGTGATCTACATATATATATACCTACATGCTTGCTTTGCTAGGTATAGATCACTGTGATGCTTGTGTTACACATATGTCTCTGCATGTGAACTGGCCTTGTGGCCTCTTGCTTGTGCTCAGATTGTGTGGTGACGTTGTGATCCACCCTGAGCTTGCTGTGCTTTGCTTGACTGGTCTTGTGACCCCTTGTTCTCCCCCACTTAGCCTATGGGGGTGTGTCAAACATTGTATGTTACTGTGCTGTAGGCTACAGTGGGTTAGCCTTTAGGGAGTACATTTCACTAGGGTTTGATACTTCAACTTCTTTCTAGTCAAACACTTCTTATTTTGACACGCCCCTACCTGCGTTCCCTGCGTCGAGGGACGGCAGCGCGCCGCTCCTCACTCCTCTGAGTTTCCTCCGACAGAGGCTCCGCTGCAGACTCTCCACATGGATGTGTGGGGCCCCGCCCGCGTCCGTGGACAGGGTCATGAGCGTTACTTCCTGCTGGTGGTTGACGACTACTCGCGTTACACCACAGTCTTCCCCTTGCGCAGCAAGGGTGAGGTCACTGAGGTGTTGATCGACTGGATCCGCGCTGCCCGTCTCCAGCTCAGAGAGAGGTTCGACTCGGACTTTCCTGTTCTGCGTCTGCACTCCGACAGAGGTGGAGAGTTTTCCTCCGACCTTCTGCGAGCCTACTGTCGTGTGGAGGGCATCCGCCAGACGTTCACGCTTCCGGCCTCTCCACAGCAAAATGGGATTGCTGAGCGCCGCATTGACATGGTCATGGACGTCGCTCGTACGTCCATGATCCATGCGGCTGCCCCCCATTTTCCGTGGCCGTTCGCGGTTCGGTACGCGGCGCATCAGATCAACCTTCAGCCCCGGGTCTCCATGCCGGAGGCCTCCCCTGCTCTGCGGTGGACGGGGAAGGTTGGCGATGCGTCTGCGTTCCGTGTCTGGGGATCTCGGGCTTTTGTCCGCGACTTGTCTGCGGACAAGCTGTCCCCCCGTGCTGTTCCCTGCGTCTTCCTTGGCTTCCCCCCTGACGCGCCTGGTTGGCAGTTCTACCACCCCACCTCGCGCCGTGTTCTGTCCTCCCAGGACGTCACGTTTGACGAGTCGGTTCCTTACTACCGTCTCTTCCCCTACCGCACGGCATCCCTCCCCCTGCCGCCGCTCTTTCTCGCGCCAGGTCCCCCCCCGGTAGACCCCCTTCCCCCTCAGGGTCCTGCCCCCTCAGGTGTGTCCCAGGTAGACGCAGTCGAGCCTGTCGAGGTAGCTGTTGACTCTAGTGCTGCTAGGGGTGCTGAGCCTGTGGGTGCGGGGTCTGGGGGTGCTGAGCCTGGGGGTGCTGACTCTGGGGGTGCTGAGCCTGGGTGTGCTGAGACTGGGGGTGCTGAGCCTGGGGGTGCTGAGACTTGGGGTGCGGAGCCTGAGGGTGCTGGGCCTGCTCGTGTGGAGTCTGGCGGTACTGGGCCTGGAGGTCCTTCGGGTGCTTCGTCCCGGCGGGAGCTACTCTCTCCCCAGGAGCTGCGCGAGTGGTTTGCTCGGCGCTGGAGCCGTGCTGCTGGAGCTGGAGGTGGTGCTGGAGTTGGAGGTTCTACTGCTGCTGAGGGTGCTGGTGCCACGGGTCCCGGAGGTGCTCGTACTGGAGGTACTGGAGCTGCTGGGCCTGGGGGTGCTCCTTGTGCTGGAGCTGCTGGCGGTGCTGGCGCTGGTGGTGCTGTTGGAGTGAGTGCTGCTGGAGGTGCTGGAGCTGGAGCTGCTGCGTCTTCTGGTGGTCCAGCTGGAGCTGGAGCTGCTGGGGGTGTTGGCACTGGAGGTGCTGCTGGCACTGGTGCTTCTGAGGGTGCTGGCGTTGGCGCTGCTGGAGCTGGGGGTGCTACTAGAGCTGGTGCTGACGTTGGGGGTGCTGGTGCTGTTCCTGCTGGTTCTGGGGGCGCTGCGCGGCCGCGGCCGTACTTCGTTCCGCTCCTTGAGCAGGTTCTTGGTCTTCCGTCCTCTCTTGGTCCTGCTCCTCCCTTAGAGTGTCCGCCGCCTGTCCCGTCCGAGTCACAGTTACAGCCAGCCTCCCCACTGCCTGCTCCTTCTCCCTATACTGGTCCTACTGGAGGTCTTGCTGAGCGTCGTGAGACTGCGTCTCGTCCTGCGTCGCCTGTTCGTGCTGCTCGCACTAGACGTCGTGTTCCGCGTCAGCGTCCTCCTGCGGTCCCAGGCACGCACCAGATGGCACTGCGTCCTTCCACTGCTCCACTGCGTGTCCCTTTGCCGTCTCCTCCCGAGTCTTCTCTTCCTGCTCTTGCTGACCCGGAGTCGAACTCCCTTCGTGCTGCCAGTCCTACTGTCACGCGTCTCCTTGCTACTGTTGTCACTGACCCTTCCTTTGAGTCTACTGCTGCGTCTGCCTTAGTTGCTGAGCTTGTCAACTTCGGTGCTCACTGTCGTCTCGACTACGCCGCTAGTCTTGTTGCTGAGTCTGAGTCTGTCTGTCCTCCGTCCGTCGGGGGTGAGTGTGCTCTTGGCACGGACGTCCTTGAGGACAGGCAGGAGGAGTTCCAGTGTTTTGCCGCTGCTTTACCTCATCTCGTGTCCATGCTGATTGCCCCCGAGGGAGACCCGGATGCACCAGATATCCCGACTCCGCGCTCTTACGCAGAGGCGATAGAGGGTCCCTACTCCTCTCAGTGGCAGGCAGCCATGGACGCAGAGATGGCTTCCTGGAATTCCACAAGCACCAACGTCGACGAGGTTCCCCCACCTGGGGCGAACATCGTCAGTGGCATGTGGATTTTCAGGGTGAAGCGGCCGCCAGGTTCTCCGCCTGTCTTCAAGGCACGTTACGTGGCTCGAGCCTTCAGTCAGCGGTAGGGAGTTGACTACTTTCAGACCTTCTCTCCCACCCCGAAGATGACCACTCTTCGGGTGCTGCTGCACATAGCCGCTCAGCTCGACTACGAGCTTCACTCTCTTGAATTCAGCACTGCTTTCCTACAGGGCAGCCTGCACGAGGAGATCTGGCTGCGCCGCCCTGGCTTCACTGGGTCGTTTCCTCCTGGTACCCAGTGGAGCCTCCGGCGGCCAGTCTACGGTCTCCGCCAGGCGCCCCGTGAGTGGCACGACACACTGAGGACTACACTTGCGGCTCTTGGGTTTGCTCCTTCTACTGCCGACCCGTCGCTGTTTCTGCGCACCGACACCTCTTTGCCGCCGTTCTACATCCTCGTGTACGTCGACGACTTGGTCTTTGCCACAGCTGACACTGCTGGACTCGCCCACGTGAAGTCGGAGCTGCAGAAGAGACACACGTGCACTGACCTGGGTGAACTGCGCAGCTACCTTGGCTTGCAGATCACCCGGGACAGAGCACAGCACACCATTACCCTGACTCAGTCACACATGGTGTAGCAGGTCCTTCAGCGCTTCGACTTCACGTACTCCTCGCCTCAGGCCACTCCTCTGTCTACTCGCCACTCGCTCTCAGCTCTGCCTTCGGATGAGTCCGTAGAGCCGAGTGGCCCGTACCCAGAGCTTATTGGTTGCCTCATGTACCTGATGACCTGCACTCGACCTGACCTAGCATACCCTCTTAGCATCTTGGCATGCTATGTTGCTCCTGGGAGACATCGACCAGAGCACATGGCTGCAGCGAAGAGCGTGTTGCGCTACTTGTGCAGTACGTCGGGCATGGGGCTCGTGCTTGGAGGGCGGCGTCCAGTGGTCCTCACTGGTCACGCAGACGCTTCTTGGGCTGACGACCAGGCTACGCAGCGGTCGTCACAGGGTTACACCTTCAGCCTTGGTTCCGGCTCTGTTTCGTGGCGGTCTACCCGCTCGTCTTCTGTTCTCGGCTCCAGCTGTGAGGCTGAGATCTACGCAGGGGCCATGGCTGCACAGGAGTTACGCTGGCTCACCTACCTGCTGACTGACCTAGGAGAGCCGCCTCGTTCTCCTCCAGTTCTGTACGTAGACAACAAGGCCATGCTGGCCTTGTGTTGGGAGCACAGACTGGAGCACAGAACGAAGCACATTGCTCTTCGCTACTTCCTTGCTCGTGAGCTGCAGCAGCGTGGTCAGCTGCGCCTTGCTTACGTGGCCTCTAGGGCCAACACTGCTGATATCTTTACCAAGGCACTTCAGCCTTGTGATCATCAGCGTTTTTGTACGATGCTAGGTCTTGTGTCTACTTGGCCTCACTTGCTCACTTCTTGACCTTGCTTGTACTGTGATCTGTCTATACCTGCACTTGCTTGTTTACCTTTATATATAATCCTGCATGTGAACTGGCCTTGTGGCCTTGAACTTGTGCTCGGAATGTGTGGTAACTTTGTGATCCACCCTGAGCTTGCCTTGCTTGACTGGTCTTGTGACTCCTTGTTCTCCCCCACTTTGCCTATGGGGGTGTGTCAAACTTATATGCTATAGTCTGTGTAGGCTGTAGTGGGGTAGACAATATAGGGTACAACACTTTTAGGTTTTCTTACTTGTACCCACCTGTTTCCTAGTTTATTCATTCCTCATTCTTTCACACCAAACTGTGTTTTGTAATTAAGGTCGTCAGAAACCGCTTAGTCTGAGCAGCAAGAGCAACAGCCATAGTTTAGACCATCTAGGCTTCTACCCCATTCCAGCGCATGTCGGAAAATTCCGCCTTAGGACATTAGGACCGCAGCCTCCATTCTTCCAATCCGTCTCTAAAGCACCCCGCAGTGCTAGGTCACTTTTCGAAGCGACATAGCTAGCCGGGGCTATGGTTGCACGTAATCCCGCCGTCAGAGCCGCTTTCACTTCCACATCGCCCACCGCACCAATAAAGCCAATGTTCCTAGTCGCGGCATCCACTCTATCCGCGTTTCTCAGGTTTCATCCACCTACTTCGGAGCATCGCTTCTTCTCCCCGTCGTCCACATTCGGAGCCCTTCCGTCCCACACGCGCGATCCCCTCCATCGCTCACGCTTCTTCCCTCGAACGAGCACGCTCCCTCCCCTCCCGTCTGCTTATCGCAAACCCCTTTGTCGCGCACGCGAACATCCCTTCGTCGCGGATGATAACTCCTTCACGTCGCACACGGCACTCCCCTCTAACGAGCACGCACACTCCCTTCCGTCGCCCACGCGCACTCGCTTCTGTCGCCCACGCGCACTTCGTTCCGTCGCCCACGCGCACTTCGTTCCGTCGCCCACGGTCCCACGCGATCGTACTGTCGCCCACGATCCATCACTTCCGCCGCCCACGCTCACTCCATCCCGCCGCCCACGCTCACTCCCATTCCATCGCCTTCGCGCAATCCTTCGGTCGCACATCCTTCGCTCGTCGCACACTGCCTCCCGCATCTCCGCCTCACCCCATCTCCTCCTCACCCCAACTCCGTCCGTGCGCACTCCCTCCTGTCGCGCGCGACAACAACCCTTCCGCCGCCCACGCTCTCTCCCTCCCGCCGCGTTCTCTCACTCCCCTCCTGTCGCGACGATATATTCCGTCGCACACGCTCACCCCCCTTGATGGGAGACCATCACTCACCCCCCTCGCTCGGCCACGCGATTTCCCTCTCATCACCCACTGGAACAAGCTCACGGCACTTGGGCTTGTTCAAGTTGTTTCTGGCTGAGAATTCTTCCCAAGAGAATTTCCTAGAAGCGAGGAAGAACAAACAAAAAGAGAAACAGCAACTCCTCTCTAATTCCTACGAATGCATTTTTATATGTACAGTACATTTACAATTCAGACATGTGGCTCGGAATGTTGATTCGGGTGGCCAGCCCCAAAATCGAGCCGCATTCCATATTTCTACTCACATTTGTACACCTCACTGCACCCACACACGTGTTACATTTCTATTCCTCCAAGTCTGGACTTTCGCCACCTGTCCCACGCGGAAGTCCCCCCAAGTCAGTCAAGGCACGAAACCTCAGTTTCGCCCTTCTCACGTGGGTCCCCCACGTCCTGCTCACTTCCGCCCCTTTGCTGCCCACGTTCGCAGTTGCACGCTGCTGCTGCATGCTTTCGCCTCCCGTGCGCTTCACGCTGCCTCCAGTGCAGCCCCCCCTTGTTACACCCACACTCACTCCTCCCCGCCGCGCACGCTCTCCCCCCATCCGTCGCCTACGCTCACCCCCTGCCCCTCGCCTTCTCTCATTCCCCTCCGTCGACTATGCTCCCTCCCCATCCCTTCCCTCCCCATCCCTCAACTCCCCATCCCCGCCTCCCCATCCCTTCCCTCCCCATCCCTCAACTCCCCATCCCCGCCTCCCCATCCCTTCCCTCCTCATCCCTCAACTCCCCATCCCCGCCTCCCCATCCCTTCCCTCCTCATCCCTTAACTTCCCATCCCCGCCTCCCCATCCCTTCCCTCCCCATCCCTCACCTACCAGTCTCTCATCTCCCCGTCCCTCACCTCCCCATCCCTCACCTCCCCATCTCTCATGTCCTCACCCCTCATCTCCCCATCCCTCACCTCCCCATCCCTTCCCTCCCAATCGCCCTCGCCCTTATTTTCTGTGCTCTGCTGTGTAGAGCTACGCGAGATGAGGTGCTCTGCGCTGCTCTGGGGCTCTGCGGTGCTGTGCTGTGCTCTGTTTGCGCACACCCCTCCTCTCCATACTCCCGAACCATCCCTCCTCTACCCATCCCTCACCTCCCCATCCCTCACCTCCACATCCCTCCTCTCCCCATCCTATCCTCTCCCCATCCTATCCTCTCCCCATTGTCGTGATGCAAGTCCCGCTGAGCCTCCCTTCTCATTGAAGCCTTCCCTCCCTTTTCTCTCCTCCACCCTTCTCACTTTTCTGTCCCCTATGAACAAGTCTAAACCCCCTCGCAAGGGCTCCATCAGATTGCTCCTGCTTCTCCCTACTGCTAGCTTCCTTTGGCTTAGGAAAACAAGATTGCAGTAAGAAGAGAAACATACAAGCAAAATGCGAGAAACCTGAGTGCTACCCTCGACTACATTCCCTCCTCCTCCTGCCTAGGTTCCTTCTGCAGCACGCTAACTCTAGTGCCAGACGCGAGTCAGCTGCACTGCTCGTGATGGCTCCTAGGTGCTAGCTAGCTCCCACTGGGCCCACTAGGCATGCACTGCAATCCAGCTGGAATCGAGTTCCTAGCCTGGAATCGCATTCCCAGCTGGAATTGCATTCCCAACCTGGAATCGAATTCCCAGCTGGAATCGAATTCCCTCTTCTGTACCAACCTCCTCGAATTTCCCTGCACTCGGCTCTGTAAAGCGTATGTACAGTACATACCACGCACACAAAAGAAATTAGAGTACAAGTCCAGAAATGCACAATTACCTGGCTACTGTGTAATTCACGCCTTAGCCTGCTGGCTAGGCGTTAATAACGCGACACGATCCTATCCTCTCCCCATCCTATCCTCTCCCCATCCTATCCTCTCCCCATCCGTCCTTTCCCCATCCCTCCTCTCCCCATCCGTCCTTTCCCCATCCCTCCTCTCCCCATCCGTCCGTTCCCCATCCCTCCTCTCCCCATCCGTCCTTTCCCCATCCCTCCTCTCCCCATTCGTCCTTTCCCCATCCCTCCTCTCCCCATTCGTCCTTTCCTCATCCCTCCTCTCCCCATCCGTCCTTTCCCCATCCCTCCTCTCCCCATCCGTCCTTTCCCCATCCCTCCTCTCCCCATCCGTCCTTTCCCCATCCCTCCTCTCCCCATTCGTCCTTTCCCCATCCCTCCTCTCCCCATCCGTCCTTTCCCCATCCCTCCTCTCCCCATCCGTCCTTTCGCCATCCGATCCTCTCCCCCTCCCCTCCAGGTGTTTCCCACACCGTCCTTGGCCTTGCGGCACCTCCTTATCCCGTGTGTTTTGCTGCACCAGGGAGCTGCTTCTCCCGCTGTGGGCGGATGGCGGTGGGCAGAGTCACGCAGCAGAGGCCTACGTGGTGCTGCACGGGTCCCTCCTTTCCGTCCCGCTCCCTCATCCACCCACGCACCAACCCCGTCCCCTCCTCCTCACCTGGTCTCCTCCTCTCCCCGTCCCCGCCTCAACCCGTCTCCCCCTCTCCCCGCCCCCACTGTACCCCATCTCCTCCTTTCCACGTCCCCTCCTCCCCACCACTTCCTCAAATCCTCCCTTCTCCCTGCCTCACATCACATCCCTCATCTTATGAAGTTTCATATTTCCTTGTCACATCTGATTTTCTGGTTTTTGTTTGTATAGGAGGTCCGGTCCACTATGCATCTAGCTGTGATGTGATGGATGTTGGATGGTATAATGATAAATCCATGCCATTGCAGGGGATACGGGGAAACATGGAAGAGGACATGGGGAGCAGGAGAGATGCCGGGGAGAGAGCTGGGAGAGGACGGTGGGGAGCAGGGCAATTGATGGGGGGAAGAGGGAGAGAGGTAAGCAGTGTGGGGGTGATAGGCGATTATTCGGGAGAGGGAAGGGTGCATGTCAGGGTTGGAAAGGGGGCGTGACAAGTGTGCGAGATGAGAAGGGAGAAGGGAGGGATGGCGAGGGCAACGAGGAGTGGATGGGAGGGCGGCGGGGAAAACGAGGGCGACGGGGGAGAGAGTTAGACCGGGATTGCGAGGGGACGAGCGGCAGGGAGGGCGACGGGCGGAAGGGAGCGCGACGAGGGGAAGGAAGGGCGGAGGGCGGAAGGGAAGGCAACGGGAAGGGAGGGCGACTAGACGAAGGGAGGGCGACGAGCGGACGGGAGCGCGACGAAGGGAAGGAAGGGCGGAGGGCGGAAGGGAAGGCAACGGGAAGGGAGGGCGACTAGACGAAGGGAGGGCGACGAGCGGACGGGAGCGCGACGAAGGGAAGGAAGGGCGGAGGGCGGAAGGGAAGGCAACGGGAAGGGACATCGCGAAAATCCAAGGCCGAAAAAGTTGCGTCCCCGCAGCTTCAAAGTTGCTTTTCCGCAACTTTGGTTTCGCAAGAAAAAAGTCTAGGTCAAAGGCTTCTGGGTCAGGGTTACAGGGAAAGTGGTTTTCCCGCAACTTTCCCGCAGCTTTTTAGCAACGTTTCCCGCAACATGGCCGCAACACGCACAGCGTCATGAGGGTCGCTTCTACGTCATGTACCTGTCAGTGACATTTGCGTCACCATGCGGACACTCCACGGTTACACCTGTGCGTTGCCACATAGCTGCCGATTAGCATACATGAAGTCATTATTCCACGTCAGCATAATATGTACACGTGTATCACGCTTTATGACAGGTGGATGCCCAACCATAACGAATCGTATCGTGCCGCATGTACGGTCGAGATGGCCACAGTTGTACGACCGCGATTGTCGCGTGGCAACTCCGCTCTGCCAACCGCAGCACGGCACATGGCCGCTCCGGATACGCCGACAAACTCCAGATCTCACACTCATACGCCTCATCTCTACCGTCCGTCCGATACAAATGTCATCCCTCGATTTGTAGTGGAATCCACCTGTACTTACACACGCCGTCTGTTCGGAGATAGGGTTTCCCAACTAGGACTACTGATACCAATCGCACGTTCACAGGTAATCGTCGTGGATCTCACGATAACACACCTGTGACCATCTCCATCACACACGTGACAAATAGCCATTGGACACCGTCGTCGGTCTAAAAAAAGGGCTGTTTCATTGATGAGCGGTTCGGCGGATTGTACGGTTGCCCTCTATCCACGTCGCTAGACTAGCGTGGCATCTAACGGCTCCTATTTAACCCGCCGCATATGTCGCCGCGATTAGCGCCGCAATTGTCGCCGTACTGCGCGGAATGCAGAGAGTTGCGTTTCAACCATCCTCGTGTCCAAGATGCGCAAGGTCTCCCCTAGGTGTGCAAGATCCAACATATATGTCACCGATTTATTGCACATATGCACTGAACCAACAACAACCACAACCTGTCCCCACTAAACCACTACACTAGTCTACGACACACAATTGGATTAAACACACTGTCAGCACTTCACCCATCTGATTCACTATCCGATGCTTCCGACGCGGAGGACTCATGTTCTTCGTCTTCGGAGGCTGCTTCATCTTCCAGGAGGCATTCCAGGCCGCAAGATGATAGACGGAGCCCATGCCTGCCCCACTTCCAGGACTTCTTCTCCTCGTCGTAGGCCACTTCATTCCGGCATACTGCATCCGCAATGGCATCGAAGGCCAGCTTCTGAATCCTCCGCACAGAAGCGCCGTTCTCGCACGGAGAGTTGTGCAGTTTCCCCTTGCGCTTCTCCCAGTTGATAATGGCGTCCGTGATCTGCGAAGGCAGGAGAAGCCCAGTTAGAACGGCTAGTTGAACGAAAGTGGCTACAACATATGTTCGCATCGGTGTAAACGTACAAGGTGCTCGAGCCACGACAGGTGGTATAGCTTTAGAGTTGTTTCTTTGTCCTTCCGCTTCCCTCCGAAAGCCGCGATGGCACATGCCGCGAACGCTCCGGATGCAAAGGGCAGTCCATCCTTGCTGATGTGCCACTTGCACAAGGTCGGGTCCCCTGCGCACGTGGAATGCAAAATGGGTACAACGATACCGCGCACGGAAAAAGGGGAGGGTTCAAAGACATGTCTGGTCCACTATGGCACGACACAGGAGTTGCGGCCATAATTGCTCCGGCCATATGACATGCGAACACGCACCATCGTCTGGGACGGGGACTCAATATCTCTTTCGGGCACGCTCCCCAGTGCGCTCCGTCTTACGTGCCCAAGGACTGGCCCTGTCCTCGTCGTCACGGAAAAGACCAATGCGTGGAAGAAAAACTCCGCGAGCGCGACCGGCCAACCCTGTTTTGTACTCGGACAAGGTCTTGTTCAGATCCTGCCGTCGAGCCTTATCCGCGTCTAACGCCAGAGTCGCAGTTTTGGGAGGAATGGTGGACACGACATGGCATAGGCCGGCGTATTTGGCGTCGCGACTCGGATAGAAGTCCATCTTCTTGTTCGGGGCTTCTAGAAACAGATGATCCTTAACCAGGTCGCAAACACCCTGCGACAATGAAAATAGTTGTGCGGGGGGGGAACACGGTGACGAGATATGTAGTGCATCCAACAACTGTGCCACGAGGTGAGCAGAACACACTATGCGAGGCCTCACCTTCCAAGCCTTCTCCGCTGGAAGGATGTCAAGGGCGGTTTGGAGCACTGGCGACTTGTCGTGACGCGCGTGCCGTGCCACTTTCGCCGGCAACTCGTCCTCATCGCACGTGGATTCTTCGTCATCATCTGACTGGCGTTTCCGCTTCGAAGCTTCCCGGCCGAGCGAGGCTGCGGCACTTGTGGACGCTCGCTTGCGCTTACGCCCTTCGCCAAGGCGGATGATGGTTAGTACGTGTGACTCCAGACGAGCCAGTGTCTTCGCGGTATCATTCTGGGAATCACGCAACGCATCAAATTCCTCGCGTGTGACGTGGCCATCGGCTGCTTCTTTCCGCTTCCTCGAATGTGGCGCTTTTGTGGCCTGCTCCTCCTCTGATCCGTTCTCGCCACACGGATCGTTGCTTGATGACTGACCACCAGCGTTTCCCTCCTCGTCGTCCTCATCTTCGCCTTCCATTAACTCGTCTATCAGGCGTTCCTTCACGGCCTCGGTGTCCTCCCCCCCCTGTGGTGCGCTGGCGACAATGGGCGTGCAGGCTGCCTCCGCGTCGACGGCCCCGACAGCCTTGGCGCTGCATATCTGCAGCGGCACTTCTCGAGTCTCTGTGACCAGGTGCGTGGTAGGTAGAAGGGTGTCAAGTTTGCGTGCGCATACGGCATATCTCACCACAGTCATGCATTAGCACTGGTACATGAAATGCAACGTACTTGTCACGTCACAAATGTTACCTTCGTTATGCCCCGCGTTCTTATCCTCCGCGCCACATTTTCCAGTGCTTGTTTTACGGCTCTTGGGTTCCGGTAGGCGTCGTCCTTTCTTCTTCCGCTCCCCGTATTCATATGATTCAGCTAACCATGACGGCGCAGTCTTCGCCCGCTTGGAACGACCGCCGTCGGTGGGAGTCATATCGACCTCTAGCGGAGACAGCATCTCAGACCGCATACACAGCGGGGTCGAAATGGCGTAGCTCTAAACCACCCCGGGGTTCTACCCTCGCTCGCAGCAGTCCCCTTACCACTCTCGTGGATATCGCAATGCCTGATACCGGAGTTTCTCACCGCACTAGTTGCCTCAAGCTCTTGGCCACGCGCACAATTCTACATATGTCACGGTTGGAGTGGCCAGTTTGATTACCGTCAAATGTCAGGGTTTACCGTCAAATGTCAGCCACACTTACCACATGTAAAATGTCGCCGTGCCACGATTGTCACATCCTCGATGCTCGTCCTCGTTTCTGTCAGATGCGATACTCCACTTATACACCCCCTTATTTCAGCATTTGCCACTAGCCCCAACTGTGGTTACAGTTTCTACATGTGCAAAGTTTTAGTGTTATTTGTCGTATATTTACATCTCCTTGATATAGACAGTTCAATATCGTGATACATGCGATGCTTACATTTCCAGATCCACCTACCCGCCACCAGCTCTAAGTCCTATCAGTATGAGCACAGAACTAGAACATCCCGTGGTCCAATGGCCACCCTGTTCATGGCTTCAGGCATCACCCTCTGCACGGTTGACCTCCTCCTATTCATCTTCGTCGAAATCATCGTTTCCCGGTTCATACACAGCATCATCGTCAACGGACTCATCGTCATCCGTGTAGTCCTCTGGTGGGTCCTCAGGCTCTTCAGCCATAGGCTGGTCCTCTGTAGTCTGCGTGGTCGCCTCCACCTCCTCAACGTCACTAATGGCCCGGGACACTCTGCCCTTTCGCCGCGAACGGGTCTCGACCGGCTGCGCATCGTCCAGGCCAGATATTGCGGCTCTCCACTCCCTCCATCTGTTCCAGCGCCTGTACTTCACGAGTAGCCTTAGGATCTCCTCGGTGCAGCCGGCTAAAGCCTGCCTCTCACCGTCGGACAGCTCCACCGTGCAGCTGATGCGTGAGTTCGGGCGAAGTACAACGGCTCCCGCAGCATACGCGTATGACGCCTCGTCCTTATCCTCGTACGACCCCAGACGAACCTGCTGACGGCGAGCAGATATGATCCGGACGTAGTACCTCTGCTTCGCTGCGTTCCACATAACTCCCGTTCGACCGCTGCTTGCGACCCTTCCGGGGTTACATGGAGCTGCGGGCACGGGAGTCGTAGCGCGGCTGCGCAAAGCCAGTGCAAGATGGCCGCGCTCTTGTTGCCTGACCACAGCAGGTGTCGCGTCGCCGGCAGTAACTTGGCTATCTTTCACGGCAGGTGTGCGAGGTGCAGGACAGGGAGAGATTGATGGTACTGCCGCCAGTGCACGCGTCGGAGGAGTCCGCGCGACCTCCATCTGGCCACTTCCGTCCGCGGTGGTTTCTGCTTTGGCGTGCTTGCGTGGAGTCGCCGTCGGCACCAGCGTGTCGGCCACGGCACCCAGGTGTTGGCGCGCCCCTGCGTCCAGCTCGTCCGACGTCACGCCTTTGCGGATGGCCAGATACTCGATCTTGGCTGTCGTGCTCAATCATAGCGAACTTCTCCTTGTGGTCTAGCAGCTCTCTTCGGATGTCCACAGGAGGGTCGACGCACATGTATCCGTTGTCGTCGATAACGGGAACAGGCTGCAGAGGTATGCGGAGACCCTGGCGCTGCAGCTCGGGAATCAGCGTTCCCTCGGCATGAGAACAAAGATCCCCACGCATCTTGTGGCGGTACCTCTCAGCGCTCACGCCCTTGAACGATATGTACTCTCTCACGGTTATGAACCCAGATGTCACCAGAGCTTCGAGATACTGGCACATGTACACTCCGCAGTCCCAACTGTTAGGTTGTTTGGGGATCTGGTGACCCT